GCTCCACCCGCATCCCCAAGGTGCGCGCGCTGCTCCGGGACATGTTCGGCGGCAAGGAGCTCCGCCAGTCCATCAACCCGGACGAGGCCGTGGCGCACGGCGCGGCAGTGCACGCCGCAGTGCTGACCGGCGACAAGTTCGTCGACAGGACGGTCCAGCTCAAGGACGAGAAGGAGCCAAAGCGGACTGTACCTGAAACCCCTACCGCAAGTCATGCTGCAGAAGCCATAATGTCACAGAAAGGTCAGTGTGAAGCTGTTGCCTACCATCATTTGACGCCTACGCACCTATGGAAATAAACGTAGATTTTCGACCACGCGTTTCTAGTACAGTATATAGTGCATTTTGTTAAAATCGTTCTATTTGTAGTAGATTTTACTTTGGAGAACCTCGTGATATGTCTAATTTGCCCTCGTTCTGTAGGGGTCGATCTACGTGATGGTCCTGGGGCGGCCGTCGGCATCGACCTGGGCACCACGTACTCGGTGGTGGGGGCGTGCCGGAGGGGCAAAGTGGAGATCTTCGCCAACGATAGCGGAAGCCGCACCACCCCGAGCATCGTCGGCTTCCTGAATGACCAGTCGTTCGTCGGCGATGCGGCCAAGGACCTGCCCGCCTCCAACCAGGTTTTTGGTGCGTGAGTGAGGTGAGCCCCTCCCTGTCCCCACTATGAACCTCCTTGACGAGTCTGCACGTCTGTCGCAGATGCCAAGCGGCTCGTCGGCCGCCAGTGGAGCGACCAGAACATCCAACAAGACAGGGGCGTGTGGCCCTTCGAGGTGGTGGAGCAGGATGGGGTGCCCAGGATAAAGGTGGACGTCGGCGGGAGGGAGGAGACCTTCGCCCCGGAGGAGGTTAGCACATGCAGGCCGCGTTGACAACTGCGCGCCGTCACCGACCGTCTGAGCGTCTTTTTCGCTGTGCTTGCAGATCTCTGGCATGGTGCTGCGTGACCTCAAGGAGACAGCGGAAGGCGCCCTGGGCCAGACTGTTTCCAAGGCCGTGGTCACCGTGCCCGCCTACTTCAACGAGCGGCAGCGCCAGGCCACCAAGGACGCCTGTGAGCTAAGCATGCCCTGCTGCGGTAGGTGTGTAGTGTTAGACCTTATCTACACTGCGTTTCTCCCCAACCAGGTAGGATCGCCGGGCTGGAGGTGTTGGGCATGATCAACGAGCCCACGGCGGCCGCGATCGCCTACGGCCTGGACAAGGACAAGAACGTGGGTGCCGGCCAGACCAAGACCGTGTTCATCTACGACCTGGGCGGCGGGACTTTCGACGTGTCCGTCATGAAGATAAGCGGTAGTGACTTTCAGGTCCTTGCCTCTGGTGGTGACACCCACCTTGGCGGCCAGGACTTCGACGTGCTCCTCCTCAAACACTGCCTCGAGGTACGTCGGTCGTCGTCGCACGAAAGGGGGCCCTCGCCAGCGGTCGCCTCCAAATATCATAACTGTTCCCATTTTCAGGACGCCCAGCGACAGTTCAACGCCGACCTCTCGAACGACAAACAGGCCGTGCAGGATCTTCGTAAAGCCTGCGAGCTCGCCAAGCGAAAGCTCTCAAACATGCCTCAGGCACAAGTTTCAGTGTTCTTGCCCCGGCTCAACAAGGGATTCCAGACTACTATCTCGAGAGCTTTCTTCGAGGATCTGTGCGCCGAACTGTTCAGGAAGACAATTCAAGTTAGCGAAGAGGTGCTGGCCGATGCAAAGGTAAAGGTGTTTCCATAGACGGGCGTACTCATCTATGGCTCTGTTGTTCATGTTCACATGGATGACGAGTGTCTGCTGGTCCGCAGGTCACTCGCGCTGAGGTGAACGACGTGGTGCTGGTGGGCGGCTCCACCCGCATCCCCAAGGTGCGCGCGCTGCTCCGGGACATGTTC